TCTGTCGTTAGAGGGCTATAGCTTCATTATTAGAGCATTTTAGTGAACAATTCCTTTTATCAGAAGAGCTCTCCATGTAGAACTTAGCCAGTTCATGTTTGTTCTGACTACTGGTCTCATTAGAATTGTTTTGCCAACATATTTTGTGCTTTCTATTGAACACAATTTCTTTGTAACCTTGAATTTTCCTTTTGAGACATGGACCTACTGAATCATACATCATTTATATATTTATATTGTAATAGTACGTATGCTCATCTGATTATCTGTTTTCCTTCCACATTCGCCATGCAATTTCCCCAGGTTTATACTGAACCTGAACTTATGGCAGGTAACTCACAAAGCTGTTTTGCTTCTAGACTATGATATTCACTGCTGGGCTTTGTGGGAATTAGAGATCTCTGAGATATTTTTTATGCCCAAAATACCTGAAACTAGGAGGCACAGGAGGACCTTTTAGCCTCTGGTTCACATGTAGGTTATAATCTGTTTAGTCACAACATGTTTGAAAATATGCGTCAATGAACCAACCTCACTGGACCCTGTGACCAGTTCATGTCAAACAGCTTGACTTTAGTTTCTAGTTACATGAAGAGGGAGGACTCAGGCTATGAAAAAAAAGCTGTGCTGCAGGTTCGCAGTCCCTGGCTGTAGGGTTTATAACATTTTTAAAACTATATCTGGGATTATGTTTACATTCACTTATGTTTAGGAAGGGAGAAAGAAATTGCTCCTACAACAATACAAGGCAGAAAAACTTTTGTTGTTTTGTTTATTCATGTGTTCCTAGAACAATGCCTGGCACATAGTAAGTGATCCATAAGTATTTGTAAGAAAATTGTGGTAGCAAGGCTGGGCGCGGTGGCTCATGCCTATAATCCCAGCACTTTGGGAGGCCGAGGCAGATGGATCACCTGAGGTCAGGAGTTCGAGACCAGCCTGACCAACATGGCAAAACCCTGTCTCTACTAAAAATACAAAAATTAGCCAGGCATGGTAGCGCTCGCCTGTAGTCCCAGCTACTTGGGAAGCTGAGGCAGGAGACTCACTTGAACCCAGGAGGTGGAAGTTGCAGTGAGCCTAGATCACACCACTGCACTCCAGTCTGAGTGACAGAGCAAGACTCCATCTCAAAAACAAAACAAAAAACAACAACAACAAAAAGAAAATTGTGGTAGCAAAAAATTGTTATGGGAACTTCAAGAGGAGAAGGTGTAATTGCAACAAAAGATATTGTGAAGCCTTCATGAGGAAGTAACAGTTGAATAGGCCCTCAAAGAATAAGTAGGATCTGGAGATTAAAGGATGTATCAATTAGGGTTTGATCACAGAAACAAGCTACTAAGAATGATATAGGATATGAGATTAAATTTAGGAACCAACCTAGCATAATTGAAGGAGCCAGGTAAACACTTCACATTCCACTGTTGCTTCTTTACCTGGTGGTGGGACTAAAGTCAGCAGAGTGGGCCGCTGGAAGGAAAGAAGGACAGAAGTGAAGTGAGGAAGATCAAGAACGAACTGCAGCCCACAAGGCTGGGCTTGAACCGTGTCAGTATCTGAAGCCAACAAGGCTCCACATTTGCTAATGCAGTGACCTGTAGGAGAATCAGGCATCCTTCATCATGGAGCTAGACATGCACGTGGCCGGGGATAGGGAGAACCCTGAGGAGGATCTGGCAGGTGTGGGAGGAGCTTCAGGCCTGGCTGCTGCCCCAGGAGCTGTACACACAGGCCCAGGATAGAGAGGACTCAAGGAGAAACCAGCAGGAGCTGAAGGAGCTGAGAGCCCAAAACCTGCCCGGGCCGATAAGGTGAGCGAGCAGATCAGCAATGACGTGTGTAAGCTACAACAGCACCGGATGCCCTGCATTCAAGCATCCAAGCTTAACAGGGAAATGACTGCTGCTTCACTTCCATCTTCCACATTTTATGCAAAGTCACATGGTCCAGAGTATGCAGGGAAGGAAGTCCTGGGAAGTGTATTTCTGGCTTAGCAGAGTTAACTCAGAACATATGCACCCCAGAGGGAAGATAAGGGCTTAGGGAGAAAAGCTGCAGGAGGCAGAGCGGATGTTTACTCTCTCTCAGGCCATCACTTTGGAGTGCCCCAGGACAGATCCTCCCAGCACAGTGGGCAGTGGGTACCCAAGTGCCATCTCCTTGCTGAATCTCTGGAAGTGGGCATCACATGGTATTCTGCTACATTTAGAGGCAATGCAAATGATTTAAACAGAACTTGAACTTATGAATCATAAAGGCTCCTAAAGCAGGGCAGGAAAACACTCAAAGTTTGGGCGACAGCCATCTCCACATGCCACCATCCAGCCACATGTCCAAGGGATTTTCATGACAATGCAGCAATCCCAGGCCCTTCTCTCCATGGGATGTAAAGCAGGGGAAGGGTGGGTACTGTGACTTACACCTGTAATATGAGAACTTTGGGAGGCTGAGGCAGGAGGATCATTTGAGCCCAGGAGTTTGAGACCAGCCTAGGCAACAATAGCAAGACACTATGCCTACAGAGAATGTAAGAAGTTACCCGGGCATGGTGGTATATACCTGTAGTCCCAGCTACTCGGGAGGCTGAGGTGTGAGGATCTCTTGAGCCTGAGAAGTTGACGCTCCAGTGAGCCACAATTTCGCAACTGTACTCTACCCTGGGTGACAGAGTGAAATCTTGTATCATAAAACAAAACAAAACAAAAAAACAACAAATAAAAAAACAACAACAAAAGTGAGTGTAGGGTAAGTATGGGAGAGAGTAGTCTTCCCGCTATCCTGGAGTGGCCTGTGACATATTTGTGCTTATTCGTTTAGTAATGACTCACATGTGCCACACACTGTTCTAGGCATCAGGGAAACAGGTGAGCAAAGTCCCTGCCCTCATGGAGCTTACCTTCCAGTGAGGGAAACAGATAATTAAAAAGTGGACAAGTCAACGTCAGGCCGTGATATGTACTTTGAGAAAAACAGAGCAAGGTGGGGAGAACAGTGAGAGGGGCTGGAATTTTAGAGAAGGTATCCAGGGAACAAGAATCCCAGGGAACAGTCCAGACATGGTGGCTCACACCTGTAATCCTAGCACTTTGGGAGGCTGAGGTGGGCAGATCACTTGAGCTCAGGAGTTCGAGACTGGCCTGAGCAACATGTGAAATGCGTCTTTACTAAAAATAAAAAAATAAAATTAAAAAATGAGCCAGGCATGGTGGCACATGCCTGCAGTCCCAACTACTCGGGAGGCTGAGACAGGAGAATTGCTTGAACTCGGGAGGCAGAGGTTGCTGTGAGCTGAAATTGTACCACTGCACTCCAGCCCGGGTGACAGAGTAAGACTCTGTCTCAAAAAATAAAAATAAAAATAAAAATAAAAAAAATAATTCCAGGGAATAAACTTGAGTGTTGAGTGTTCCTTAGGTACCTAATACTGTTCTAAGGACTTTACATTGTATCGACTCATTTAATCCTTGGGAAAACCTGAGTAATTTTCCAAGGTCACATCATTAATAAGTAAAAGATCTGGCATTTAAACACAGGTCGTCTGGTAGCACAGCCTAAGCTTTAAGTCAGAGACAATCTCCTGGTTGCAGTGAGTGAAGTGAGGGAGTAAGGAATGCAAATATCAGAGGGAAGAGGGAACAGCCAGTGCAAAGCCCTGAGCCAAGTGCATGCTTGTTGTTTGGAGGAGTGAAACCAAGAGTTTGGTTCTGGACATGTGGCAGTTTGAGAAGCAAGAGAGGAGGAGACTTCAGCAGAGAAGACTGAGAAACAGCAACTGGGGGCGGGGGGAGGAGAAAGCCCAGGAAAGAAGGCTGCATAAAGGAAGGAATCATCAATATTTCCAATTCTGCTGGGAGGCCCAGTTAGCACAGACCCAAGAATTGACCATTGGATTTGGCAATGTGGAGGTCTTCACTGGTCTTGACATTGATGGCCTTTTATAGACAATACAGTATGTGGAAAGGCAACCAAAGCAGTTCCAGATCAAGGGTGAATGGGAGCCCAAGGCTCTACCCTCCAGCCTCAGCTCTGCCCCTTCCTACCACGAGACACCTCCCAGGATCCCTGGAACACAGTTTGACCACAGATGTAAGCCAGCCCCTTTGTTTCACAGCTGATGAAACTCAGGTCCAAAAAAGGGAAGAAGCTGGCTCAAGGCCATACAACTAGTTAGTGAAAAGCACACGTTACAATGATCACTATTTCATGAGACAAATCTATTCCTACCCTGTCTTATGCTGCTTTCATGGACCGTGTGGTTATGACAAATAGAAAAATCAAAATAACAAGGTCTTTTACACCCGTGTATCTCTGTGGGAAGGAAAGAATGATAACATGAGCAAATTCAATTCATAAAATATTCAGAAGCCTCACTGTTAACTAATAGTTTCCATATTCTCCTCCCATACCACATTTCTGGTCATTCAGCAAGTTCCATGTTTTCTGATTCTACGTAATGGGACATAGCAGACTACAAACTGTACAACGGATGTAATAGTAACACTAGTTGCTCACACTTACCACTAGCCATGAGCTAGCATCGTTCTCAGGTCCTCGCAACAGCCCTGTGCAGCAGGCTTACCAAGGAAACAAAGCCCTCTCTGAGGGTTATGCTTGGAACCATATCATGAAGTGGTCAAGAGTTCAGTCCCCAGGTCCTATTGTCCAGTTGCATATTTCATTTCCACTCCTCACTGATGGTGGCACCCTAGCCAGGTTACTTCCCCTCTTTATGCTTTAGTTTTGTCAGCAGTGTGAAATGCTTCATAGACTGAAAAACAGGATACAGGGATGAGGGCTGGCATTGATCACAGTAAGCCAGGCACTGTTCTAGTCATGTCATCATCACAAGCCTTGGCATCCCCTGCAAGCAGGGCACTGATAGTGGGTTGCTGAGGGCTCCCTCTCCTCTGCTCTCTGATTTGAATAAGCCACAGATTGAATCATTAAGCTGTACTTAAGCTCATCTTGCCTGTTTTTATGTTTTATTTTTGCCTTAGGATCCATGCTTGAAGCTGGATGAAACTTCGCCGAGAGGAGAGGAGTATCAAGATAAGTTAGCCGCTGAAGAAGGAACCAGCAGTGATGAAGAAGAAAGGTACAGAAAGACATGCAGACTTCTGAGTGCTCCAATGAATGAGGACTCAGATGTGGAAGGATTCATCCATTCATTCATTCTATCCTCAAGTATTTATCACTGCTCGTTGCATCATGCTGGTGGAGGCAACAAGCATATCTTGTAGGTCTTCAGCACAGCTATGGGCTTTACATAAACTATCTTACTTAATTGTTACAACAACCCAGAGAAGCCATTTTTTAGCTTAAGAACCTAGAGCTCAAAGAAGTTAGCAAACCTGTCCAAGATTCAGACCTGCACTGGCCCAAAACCTCTGCCCATATGTTTCCAAGTGTTCTTTAATTAGGGGATATAAGCAAGCTTTGTGATCCTGAGGAGATCCCCACCTATATCACCTATGTCAGTCAGCTATTGCTGCTATAACACCCCCAAATATCAAAGATTTTTAGCTCATAGATTAGCTACCCTTATGATTGGCTCTATCAGGCTCTGCAGGTATATTAGGTCGTTTCCACACTGCTATAAAGAAGCCCCCAAGACTGGGTAGTTTATAAAGGAAAGAGGCTTAATTGACTGACAGTTCTGCTTGACTGGGGAGGCCTCAGGAAACTTACAGTCATGCCAGAAGGGGAAGCAGGCACGTCTTACATGGTGGCAGGTGAGAGAAAAGTATGTGTAGGAGGAAATGACAAACACTTATAAAACCATCAGATTTCGTGAAAACTCACTCACTATCATGAGAACAGCATGGGGCAAACTGCCCCCATGACCCAATCACCTCCCACCAAGTCCCATCCTCAACACGTGGGGATTATGGGGATTACAACTTGAGATGAGATTTCGGTGGGGACACAAAACCTAACCATATCAGTGGGACTTATATGAGCTTGGCTCCTGGGTGAGGGTCAGGTGTTATTGCTCTGCCACAAACTACAGTTAAAATCTGCTCCACATGCCATCTCATTCTGTGGCCCAGGCTGAAGGATTAGTCCCCATCTAGGGAATGTTGTTGTCATGGTAAAGGGAAGATGTTCAAAAGACTTATGGAAACATGCAGTGGCTCGTCAAGCCTAAACTCAGAAATGCACTCTCATTTCCACCCAACTTCCATGGGCCAGAGCAAGTCACGGAGGCAAAACTAATATTAAAAATCTTGAAGAAGAAAGTTGGAGGACTCAGGCTACCTGATTTCAAGGCATGTTATAAAGCTTTAGTGATAAAGACATTGTGGTATCAATATGCCAGTACACAAATAAGCTAATGAAACACAATGGAATGTTAAGAAATAGATTCACACACACATAGTTGCTAGATTAATTTTTGTTCATGGTGCCAACGCAATTCAATGGACATAGGAAAAGTTTTTCAACAAATGGTGTTGGAACTGGATACACATGAGAAGAAAATGAACCTCAACCCCTACTATGTCCTATGCACAAAAGTTAATTTGAGATGTTTCATACATCTAAAATATAAAAACTAAAACAGGAAAGTATCTTTGAAACTTTGGTGTAGGCAGTAATTTCTTAGATAGGATGTGAAAACACTAATTATCAAAGGAAAATTAATAAATTGGTTTTCATCAAAATTGAAAGTTCTGCTTATTTAAAAAAAAAAACTTAAAATGAATAGAAAAGCCACAGACCGGGATAAAATATCCCCTGTGTATTAAGAATATATAAATAACTCTTATAAATCAGTAATAAAAAGACAAACCTATTTGGTTTTTAATTGAACTTTTGAGTTCAGGAGTTCATGTGTAGGTTTGTTATGTAGGTAAACTTGTGTCATGGGGGTTTGTGTTACAGATTATTTCGTCACCCAGGTATTAAGCCTAATACACATTAGTTACTTTTCCTAATTCTCTCTCTCCTCCCACCCTCTACCCTCTGGTAGGCCCCAGTGTCTGTTGTTCCCCTCTATGTATCCATGTGTTCTCATCATTTAACTCCCACCTATAAAAGCGAGGACACGTGATATTTGGTTTTCTGTTCCTGTTTTAGTTTGCTAAGGATAATGACCTCCAGCTCCAACTACGTTCCTGCAAAGGACATGATCTCATTCTTTCTTATGACTGCATAGTATTCCATGGTATATATGTACCACATTTTTTAAAATCCAGTCTACCATTGATGGGCGTTTAGGTTGATTCCATGTCCTTTCTATTGTGAATTGTACTGTAGTGAACATATGTGTGCATGTATCTTTATAATAGATTTATGTTCCTTTGGGTAGATACCCAGTAATGGGATTGCTGGGTCAAATGGTATTTCTGCCTCTAAGTCTTTTAGGAATTGCCACATTGTCTTCCGCAATGGCTGAACTAATTTACACTCACACCAACAGTGTATAAGCATTCCTTTTTCTCTGTAACCTCATCAGCATCTGTTATTTTTTGACCTTTTAATAGCAGCCATTCTGACTGGTGTGAAATGCTATATCATTATGGTTTTGATTTGTATTCCTCTAATGATCAGTGATGTTGAGTTTTTTTCATATGATTTGTGGCCACATGTATGTCTCCTTCTGAAAAGTGTCTGTTCATGTCCTTTGCCCACTTTTTTAATGGGGTTGTTTGTTTTTTTCTTGTAAATTTGTTCAAGTTCGTTATAGATGCTGGATATTAAACCTTTGTCAGATGCATAGTTTGCAAATCTTTTCCCCCATTCTGTAAGTTGTCTGCTCTCTCTGTTGATAGTTTCCTTTGCTGTGTAGAAGCTCTTGGTTTAATTGGATCCCATTTGTTAATTGTTGCTTTTGTTGCCATCTCTTTTAGTGCCTTCGTCATGAAATATTTGCCTGTTCCTATGTCCAGAATGGTATTGCCTAGCTTGTCTTCCAGGGTTTTTATAGTTTTGGGTTTTACATTTAAGTCTTTATTCCATAGAGTTAATTTATTTTCTTAGAGACAGGGTCTCATTATGTTGCCCAGGCTAGTCTTGAATGATCCTTCCACCTCAGCCTCCCAAAGTGTTGGAATTCAGGCATGAGCCACCATGCCTGGCCTTAAGTTAACTTTTGTATGTGGTATAAGGAAGCGGTCCAGTTTCAATCTTCTGCAAATGATGCCGTTATCCCAGCACCATTGATTGAATAGGGAATTCTTACCTCATTGCTTGTTTTTGTCAGGGTTGTCAAAGATCAGATAGTTGTAGGTGTGTGACTTTATTTCTGGGTTCTCTATTATGTTCCATCGATCTATGTATCTGTTTTTGTACCAGTACCATGTTCTTTTGGTTACTGTAGTCCTGTAGTATAGTTTGAAGTCAGGTAGCATGATGCCTCCAACTTTGTTCATTTTGCTAAGGATTACCTTGGCTATTTGGGCTCTTTTTGGGTCCATATGAATTTTAAAATAGTTGTTTCTACTTCCTTGAAAAATGTTCAATAGAGGTAGCATTTAATCTATAAATTGCTTTAGACAGTATATTCATTTAACAATATTGATTCTTCCTAACCATGGGCATGGAATGTTTTCCCATTTGTTTGTGTCATCTCTGATTTCTTTGAGCAGTGTTTTGCAGTCTCCTTGCAGAGGTCTTTCACCTCCCTGGTTAGCTGTATTCCTTCTATATTTGTGTGTGTGTGAGAGTTGTGAATGGGATTGTGTTCCTGATTTGGCTGTCAGCTTGAATGCTGTTGGTGTATAGGAATGTTAGTGATTTTTGCACATCAATTTTGTATCTTGAGACTTTGCTGAAGTTGTTTATCAGCATAAGGAGCTTTTGGGCTGAGACTATGGGTTTTCTAGATATAGGATCATGTCATCTGCAAACAGGGATAGTTTGACTTCCGGTCTTCCTATTTGGATGGCCTTTATTTCTTTCTCTTGCCTGATTACCGTGGCCAGAACTTCCAATACTATGTTGAACAGGAGTGAGAGAGGGCATCTTTGTCACATGCTGCAAAACTATTTTTTAAATGGACAAAATACTCGAACAAGCACTTTCCTAAAAAAGATGTATGTGAGGCTGGGCATGGTGGCTCATGTCTGTAATCTCAGCACTTTGGAAGGCCAAGGCAGGTGGACTGCTTGAGCCCAAGAGTTCAAGACCAGCTTGAGCAACATGGCAAAACCCCATCTCTCCAAAAAAAAAATACAAAAATTAGCTGAGTGTGGTGGCACATGCCTGTAGTCCCAGCTACTCAAGAGGCTGAGGTGGGAGGATTGCTTGAGTCTGGAAGGTTGAGGCAGCAGCAACCCATGGGCCACTGTACTCCAGCCTGGACAACAGAGCAAGACCCTGTCCCAAAAAAGAAAAATATATATATATGTGAGTGGCTCGTAAGCACATGAACATATGGTTAACATCATTAGTCATCAGAAAAATGCAACTTACCACCACAGTGAGATACCATTTCCCACCCACTGGAATGGCTAAAATTAAGAAGTCTAACAACATAAAATGTTAGCAACAATCCAGGGCAACTGAAACTCTCATACATTGCTGACAGGGTCTAAAATACTATAATCACTTTAGAAAACTATATGATTGTTCCTTAAAACATTAAGCACATACCTACCAGCAGTTCCACTTTTAGGTATTTAAGCAAAATAAATGGAAAGCATTGCCAGGCGCAGTGGCTCACACCAGTAATCCCAGCTCTTTGGGAGGCCGAGGCAGGTGGATCACTTGAGGACAGCAGTTCAAGACCAGCCTGGCCAACATGGTGAAACCTCATCTCTACTAAAAATACAAAAATTAGCCGGGCGTAGTGGCACACACCTGTAGCCCCAGCTACTCAGGAGGCTGAGGCAGGACAATCACTTGAACCTGAGAGGCGGAGGTTGCAGCAAGCCAAGATCACGCCACTGTACTCCAGCCTGTGTGACAGAGCGAGACTCTGTCTCAAGAAAAGAAAAACATATATCCACAAAAATCCTTGGACACGTTTATTTCTAGCAGCTTTATTTATAATAGCCCAGAAGTGTAAACAATCCAAATGTCTATCAGTAGAAAAATGGATAAACAAACTACCATATATTCATGTAAAGGAATACTACACAGCAACAAAAAGAATGAATTGCTGACATACACAACAACATGGATGAGGCCCAAAGACATGATGGGGAGCAACATAACCTGGAAACAAGAGAATGCATCCCACATGATTCTGTTTGTATGATGCTTCAGCGCAGGCAAAAGTGATCTATGGTGATGGAAATCAAAGCTTTGGCTGCAAGGGAAGTTTTGGGGTCATGAAAATATTCTGTATTTTGATTGAGATGTTGGTTTCATGGTTGTATATATTTGTCAAAACTCACTGAACTGTACACTTAAGATCTGTGTACCTCACTATATGTAAATTTTACTTGAATAAAACATTAAAAAGAATAATAATAACTGAGCCCCATCCTGAGAGAAAGTTCAGCCCCCTCCCCTCTCCTGGGACTCACCGGGAGTGCTTACCTGGCGGTGCCACCTGTCACTCTTGCCCGAGGCTGCTCTTCCACTTGCTCTGGCCTCCTAACCCTTGGTTTCATACCCAGAGTTCAGACCCAGGTATCCCTGTTTCATTGCTCCTTAAAGGTGGCTATGTTTTGCACACCTTCAAAAGGCTTGAGGATAACCTAAGAGAATCAGAATGCAGAGAAAGAAAACGTCTCTCTTTTAATGTGTAGTTTTGTTTGTTTGTTTGTTTGTTTGTTTGTTTGAGATGGAGTTTCACTCTTGTTGCCCAGGCTGGAATGGAATGTTGTGATCCCGGCTCACTGCAGCCTCCGCTTCCTGAGTCCAAGCAGTTCTCTTGCCTCGGCCTCCTGAGTAGCTGGGATTACAGGTGCCCGCCACCACACCCAGCTAATGTTTTGTATTTTTAGTAGAGATGGGGTTTCACCGTGTTGGTCAGGCTGGTCTCGAACTCCTGACCTCAGGCTATCCACTCGCCTCTGCCTCCCAAAGTGCTGGGATTACAGGCGTGAGCCACCGCGCGCAGCCCATAGTTAGTTCTTTATGTAATTCTTACTATGCGCCAGACACTGTTTTAAGCACTTTATAGATACTGACTCTACTAATCCTTGTGGAAAAGGTAGCATTATTAACCTTATGTTATAGAGGAGGAAGCTCAAGCCAGGAGAGTTTAAAGATCTTGGTGAGATCTTTAAACTCTCTCCTGCATTGAGTGGGTTGTAGAGCTGGAATTTGGAGCTGGGTAGTCTGGCCCTTGCACCATCCTCTTGGCCACCTTCCTATGCTGCTTCTAGCATTATACCCTTCCTTTCAGGGGTCCCCATTGTCTGTCTCTTCCTTAACCCCCCAGCCTGGGCCTTCACACCTCTGCCAAGCAGAGTACCCCGTCTCATGGCCTTTTCTCACAGCCCAAGACCCTAAACCCCACCTCTGGAGCTCTGGCCTGATGTCCTTGTCAGGGGAAGCAGATGCTGCTTATGACCTGGCAGTCTCTCTAGAGAGCCCCACCATGTGGCATCCTTTCACGTTGTGAAACAAGATAAATACTTAACATCCCAATCTAACCCAATCGCGCTTGAAATTCTCAGCTGGTTCAAAAGTTCAGAATTAAGGAAGGGAGCATCTTATCTAGAATGCAGAAACTCTTGCAGCTTTAAACTAGCATTTCCTTGTTCACGTTACATATGTGGAGGCCTATTTATAGTCCCCCGATTTGTACTTGGGGATGCCAGTAAAATGTGTGAGCGTGCTTTGACAAGCGCAAAACACTGTGTTAAAGTGAAGTGTTGTGGTCGTTTTTATATGTGCAGAAAGAGCTGCAAAATTAAGACCACAGAGTTCTCTTTTTTGGACCCAAAGACCTCATATCAGTAACTCTAGCTTTCAGTCATTTTGACAGTTGATCACCATTTATTAAGAACCCGCAAAAAAACAGATATCGGGTGGTTCCTGATTGTATCCTAAGTGCAATAATACACTTTATATGGTAGGTTGCTTTTTGAAAGTCAAGTAAGATGTTTCTAACCCCCACTAACTGCTCTCAGAGCTCCCTCCTCCCAGGCACAGTGGCTGTCACATTATCAGAGTGGCAGTGTCATTCCCAGCCCGAGGATCTTTTGTGATTGTGGCATCCCTATCTTCAAAGGACCGAAGAGCTTCTCAAGGAGGGAAGTGACCCACAACCTCCACTGGGCTCTTTGTTGAAGGAGAAAACATCCGAAATCCCCCGTCTACAGGAGGACTGGCAAAGCCAGAAGGCCAAATTGCAAGCCCAGGTAGGACAACCCTGGTGGGGATTTCTCCCTTCCTGAGATCCTGCTCCCTCCTTTTTACAAACTTGGAAATGCATGCAGGGCCGGATTCACATCCAAGCTGGGAAGGCATTACAGGACCAGGGCAAAGTGGGATTCTTGGTTTTATTTATTCATTCATCCCAAACCTGCTGCAGCTGGGCACGGTGGCTCACGCCTATAATCCCAGCATTTTGGGAGGCCGATGGGGGCAGATCACTTGAGGTCAGGAGTTGGAGACCAGCCTGGCCAACATGCTGAAACCCTGTTTCTACTAAAAATATAAAAAATAGCTGGGCATGTGGTGGGCACCTGTAATCCCAGCTACTCAGGAGGCTGAGGCAAGAGAATCATTTGAACCCGGGAGGCAGAGGTTGCAGTGAGCTGAGATCACACCACTGCACTCCAGCCTGGGTGACAGAGTGAGACTGCATCTCAAAAAGAAAATAAAAAACCTGCTGTGCTAATGAGCACTCAGTATGAGCCGCTGATGAATTCATCAATGCACAAACCAGAAAAAATACCTTACATTTTATGGCCAGGTGTGGTGGTTCACACCCATAATCCCAGCCCTTTGGGAGGCTGAGGCAGGAAGAACGCTTGAGCCTAGGAGTTCAAGATCAGCCAGGGTAACATAGCAAGACTCTGTCTCTACAAAAAAAAAAAAAAAAAAAATTACCGGGTATGGTGACATGTGCCTGTACTCCCAGCTACTCAGGAGGCTGAGGTGGGAGGGTTGCTTGAGCTCAGGAGTTCGAGGCTGCCGTGAGTCATGATCACAACAGTGCACTCCAGCCTGGGCAACAAAGCAAGACCCTGTCTCAAAAAAAAAAAAAAAGATATTTTATATATATATAAAATATATATATATATCTCTTTAAATATAAAGAGATATATATATTTTAGCAATGGAAGTGGGAACAGACGATAAATGGTTGACATAAGAAGTTAGTAAATCACGTAGTTCATTCTAAGGTAATGATGGCTCAGGAAAAAGAAAACGAGAGCAGGGAGGCTGTCCTGTGATGGGGTACGTGGGCTTGGGGGAGGTAGTACTATACGGGGCTATCAGGAGAAGCCTCAGTGAGGAAGCCAGATTCGAGCAGGCACCTGAGGGAGGAGGGGGGACGCCACGTGGGTCCCTGGAAGGCATTCCAGTCCCCTCTTGATTTCTCTTGAAAGGTTGGTGTCCCCACCCCTCTTTTCCTCTTTCCCGGCATTCGTGGCTCTAGCTGGGGGGTCCCTGGAAGGACTAGCCACCCCCAGGTCCTTCAAGCTTGCAGCTTCCATCCCCTCAGAGTCCCTAGAGGCAGAGGAGGCTCAGCTGCATGGAGGTGACATTTAGAAAGCTTTTATTTAAAGAAAACATCCCAGGAAAGGCAAGGGGCTTAGACTGAGGGTAGGATGCCTGGTGCGCAGGTCTTGCAGATGCAGCAGGCTCTGGAGCAGTGCACCAGCAACTACAGGGAGGACCTGCAGGCGCTCAAGCAGCTGTCGGACCTTGAGAGGGAGAAGCTGCAGCGTGAACTCCAGGAGACCACTCAGCAGAACCAGGCTGTGAAAGCCCAGCTCGAGGCTTCCCACCAGAGAGCCCTGCGCATGCTGGAGAAAGCCAGACATCAGGAACTCAAGGTGAGGGAATGACTGAGTGGTCTACTCTGTGCCGGGCAGCTGCTAGGTGAGAACTGCCATGTGCAAAGCCGTCCCTTTTCTACATGACGTCCAATCCCCCGAGAATCTTTCCAGATTGTTATTATCGTATTCCCTTTTCCAGATGAGGAAAGAGGCTCAGAGAGATTTTGTAACTTGCTCAGGGTCACACAGCTAGTAAGTGGCAAAGCAAGAAAGCAGGCTAGGTCTGCCGGGCTTCTTGTGCTACGTTTCCCCATCTGCTTGCGACCTTGGTGGCATAAGAACGAGTTGCTTTCATGACTAGAGCAGTGGCGTGCATGAACACACCAGGAAGGCAGGCTCAGTCCCACAGCTGAAAACGAAAACGGCAGCACAGTTGACAAAGAACAGCTCAGGCTGGGCACAGTGGCTCACGCCTGTAATCCCAGCACTTTGGGAGGCAGAGGTGGGTGGACCACCTGAGGTCAGGAGTTTGAGACCAGCCTGACCAACATGGTGAAGCCACGTCTCTACTAAACATACAAAAATTAGCCGGGTGTGGGGGCAGGTGCCTGTAATCCCAGCTACTTGGGAGGCTGAGGCAGGAGAATTGCTTGAGCCTGGAAGGTGGAGGTTGCAGTGAGCCGAGACTGTGCCATTGCACTCCAGCCTGGGCGACAGAGCAAGACTCTGTCTCAAAAA